AATTGTTGATCTGCCGACTTCTGCTGAAAACTCAGATATTCTTTCATTATCTTAAAACTTGAACTAAACAATTAGCTAAGAATAATAATTTAACAGATAGGCTAGTTTAAATTTATTGTTTGTTTTTATTTAAATGTTGTAAATACACTTTTTTAATTGGCTTACATTCAGTATTGCTAAGAATATGTAATATTTGTCTACTTGTTCCTGTCTAATGGAAGGTTATCTTGTGTTTTCCCCTTTTAACTCCATCAAAATATTATTATCCTAATTTGAGTTTGTTATACTTCCAAACTTGGATTTTTTAAATTACCTCTGATAATTTTTTGCCTTGTATTCGATATTCGGCGTTTACTATACTTCTACGGGCTCTTTAATTTTTGTAGTTAAAAGATGTTCATTCAAAGTTAGCGAATCCGCTCTTGGAAACTATACATGTATAGTCAAATTAAAATTAATCTTATTTGTATATTGTATTCTGTAGTTCTCTAATGTAGTGGTATTCTCAACAGGCTATTCATCCTGGTATGGACTGTAAGCAGCATCAAGAGAAGGCTCAACTAGAAGCTGAAACTAACGCTGATGCTCGCCGCACTAGAGAAATGCTCGAGGTATTCCTAGTACCCTAGTACTGTATATAACAATAGAGAAAGGAATCAGCCAAACACCAACCAAGCGAGTTCTACTTGTCCTATGAAACATTACCCTAAGCGAGATCTACTTGGCACAATAAATCAGAAATGTCTGGTTTTCTTATGAATTTTAACCTGTAGTTAGCTGCTTTAGTTTCATTTTTAGTTATCACCCAGTAATCTGAAATTATTCTGTTGAGATAGAAACCTAGATGATTTATTATGATTAGATGATTTATTTATTAGATGATACTATTAGTTGTCGTTGTCAGACAATGTCTAAACATAAAACAGTTTTTTAGTAAATTCAAATTGTGTTCCGACTTCTGAGCTGGAATTGTGTGTTAATTTTGTTTGCTCTGATATATTTGTTTTGCTATATAATTACAAAAAATAATTTTATGTAATAAATTTCTGCTCTATAAGTGTTTGTTATTTTCTAATACAGCTTTAGGCTATTGAGCTGTTAACAATACTGGAAACATAATTTTTATTGTCTTGATGATTGTGCCAACTGTCCTCGCGTTACTGGTGAAGGCACTAAAAAAAACTTGACTTACTTTGTCTTTATGCATTTAACGTATTGGTGTTTTAACACGATTTAGATTTTGACTCTGGCACAGTAAATTAGTATAGCAGTAAGAAAGGGTAAGAAAAAGAGTAAAAATGGGAAGCATATCTTGGGACCAAATATGTTTAGGACTAGTAACGTTGCTGAAAACACCAATTTGAAATACATGGCCTGGCTTTTAGGTGCTCCGTAATGCATGGTAAATATGGAATGATGTTAACTTATATGGTAGATATTGGTAATTAATAATGAAATGTATAAATAAATTTAAATGTTAAAAAAGGCCAATATATAATAATTTGTTAAATTCACAAGCGCTTTCGGAAACTAGGTCTCCATCGTCTTAAATTTAAGTTTTAAACACAGCCTGACGATAGAAACCTAGTTTCCAAAAGCGCTTGTGAATTAAACAAATTATTATATTATGTTCATTATGGAATGAAGCGTAGATGAAAATAACACAGCATAGGGCTGTGCGGCTGTGATTGGCTGAGGTGTTCCATGTGTAAGACTAGATATGATAGATTGTGTGTCTGAGACTACAGTTTAGTCTGTGGTCCTCAGGAGATGGTACAGCGAGGTGAGGCATTGCCATGTCCTACGTGTCATGTGGTGCTGATGAAGAAGTGCGGCTGTGATTGGCTGAGGTGCTCCATGTGTAAGACTAGATATGATAGATTGTGTGTCTGAGACTACAGTTTAGTCTGTGGTCCTCAGGAGATGGTACAGCGAGGTGAGGCATTGCCATGTCCTACGTGTCATGTGGTGCTGATGAAGAAGTGGGGCTGTGATTGGCTGAGGTGCTACATGTGTAAGACTAGATATGATAGATTGTATGTCTGAGACTACAGTTCAGTCTGTGGTCCTCAGGAGATGGTACAGCGAGGTGAGGCATTGCCATGTCCTACGTGTCATGTGGTGCTGATGAAGAAGTGGGACTGTGATTGGCTGAGGTGCTGCACGTGTAAGACTAGATATGATAGATTGTGTGTCTGAGACTACAGTTTAGTCTGTGGTTCTCAGGAGATGGTACAGCGAGGTGAGGCATTGCCATGTCCTACGTGTCATGTGGTGCTGATGAAGAAGTGGGGCTGTGATTGGCTGAGGTGCTCCATGTGTAAGACAGAGATTTGCTGGGTAACTCGAGGCCCTCGGTGGGGTCCTGGGGTAAGTTCAGCAATTTTTATTATTATGATAACTCATTATGGTTCAATCTCAAAAGTCTGTATTTGAATTGAGAGAGTGACGGAATTCAAAGTGTCAGGTTAAAAGAAATATTAGTTAAATAAACATATAACTAAATGAATAACTTCTTGATTAGCATCGTACGTGTTATTGAATTACCCGAAAAACAAAAAGATGTACGTCTAATATCACTTGTAATAATATATTTACATTTATACTGTTGACTCACTCTCTATTCGACACTCATTCTTCACTCATATTTGCAATCAACTACCCTTAGTTGTGTCTCTATATTAATTAGCTACTTAGTAATAGTCTTGCTATTTTCGCTCCATATGTCTTTTACTTAGAATTTTTGTAAATAATAAATTAATCAAATGTATTGTTTGTTATTCAGGGCAAAGGTGACACTTCGGCAGGTTGTAAATGTGGAGTGAACGGAGTCAAATGCCACCCCAAGTGTAACTACTGTCATTGAATTTTCCTCTCAACTGAACCAACGAAACTAGTCCTCGCAATTGTGATTGCTCCGTATACTCGGGTTTGTTTTGTATATTGTATTATTAGATAAGGCTAGCTGTTAAAATACAATCGGTTTGATTTTTGACAAGTGTAAATACATTTGGGTTAAAGGCATAAACCTTGATCGGTAGGATCTTGTTATCCAATGTCTCATCATCATTGTTATTTATTTGTTTTAACCACAAGACTTGAGCTCGAATTAAAATCTTTTATAAATTAATGTTTCAGAGATTTTTTCAATTTTGTTATGATTGTCAAGTGTCTACATTTTTAACCTAGTGAAACTGAATCACTGTTTACTAATTCAAATCTTTTACATTAAATAATTGGTATCACAATTCAATGTTGGTGTTATTAGATTATTGAAATACCCAACACTTCCAAGAAGTAAAAAATGTACTGGCATATTATTTCCCTCTAATTCTCTGATGCTCACTTGAACCAAAAATGATTATACTTAATCTACTTAATATTTCTGCCAAACTAATGATAAATGAAACTAATGCTCTGAAAAGTTATACTATATTGTTTTTAGATAACAGTGTCACCCTTGAAACTGCAACATTCATCCTCACATTTATACAATTTATAAGGAAAAAATAAAGCAATTTTATCAAATTTTCTCAATGACATAAAGTACATAAAAAATTAGTTTTGGAGTTTACAGTATAACACTTTTAACAAGGTTTAAGATAAGAGTGTAAATAAGTTTGTTTGCAATGAGAGTTTTTTTAATACTGTCAAGTGTATTGCTTGTGCGAGACATAATTAAAATATTTATATAATATGTTGAGATCATTGTTTTCTTTAACCCACTCTTATATTCACACGTGTGTTTCATTGAGTTATTTGTGCTTCTTCTTATAATATTTCCTATTGTCATAACGTAGGTTTACACATAAACGTGAATGTTTTTGTGGACACACACACAGTAAGGACACAAAAAATTGGCAAAATGCCCGATTTGGATTTGATTTAAATATTATAAATTAGGTAAGATTAAATCACTGAAAAATCTAAGAAATTCGGTTTAACATAAACTTTAATTGAAAACAAAGGTTTTACAGAAATATCTCGATGAAAACGTTTAAGAAAGTTAGAAGTTTTATTAATTTAGTAATAGTCCAGTTACCAAATGAAAGGCAAGTTGAATACTTGCTTATGAAAATCCAGGATCTCAAAACTGCACGAGATAATATGTGTTCTTGTTTGTATTGTCATATAATTTGCTCAGATTTGTGACAAGATTGACAAATGCTGGACACATGGTTTTAAGAGACCCTTCTTTCAGAGATGAAACCTATACTACTTCGCACAATTCCCTAAGATCCATTCTGATGCAAGTGTGACTGCGTCTTCCTCTCAGGTCTTCAAGTTTCGTCAACGGATGTGCAAAAGGAGCTACAATCTCTTGATCTGAGTAAATGTCCTGGCCACTAAAAGCCTGTTATGGTAACTATCATTCTTATAAATTGTATCCCGGTATTTGCAACCCTCTTTTCAGTCCTGTTTATGCCTCCTTGAAATCTGCAACTGAATTTCTATTGAATATGAATACTCCAAACTAGACATATTATAGTTAGGCCGCTTAGAAAACGACCTGCGCGCTAATGCTAAACCAATGCTGGAGGAGGTCGCTTTCTAAGCGGCCGAACTATAGTGTGAGGTATAGCATTATTTATATCACATCTATCAGTTACAAAACTAGAGGAAAAACAATTTTAGGCTGAGAGTAGCTCACTCAACTAGGTTTGTTTGAATAAAATATTTGCTACAGCTGGTCTATACAGATGGAACGTCTACTTCGGTATACTTAAGTCAATGGCCATAAAAATGGTTGAATACTGATGAAAATAAACAGTATCAGCAAATTTGGGAACTACATTTTGGGTTTGGTGGGACCCAAAACAGATATTTCGACCCAAAACACAAACTAAAAATGTTGACAAAGACAATACTTTCTTCATATACTATGTATAGCGACTAGCGAGAAAGTAAAATTGTTGAATTGTAAGTGAAAGTCAATATAGATTACTTGACTACCAGACAGGAAAAAAGGAATTATAAACAAACAGTTGTGGTGTGTGATAACTTAAATATTTAATAGTTTTTCATATAAGGTTCTTATGTATAACTTGATAAAAACTCTTGATTTTTTGTTTGTGCAAAACTACTCTGTTGTGTTGCATATTGCGTAAGCCGACAGTCCCAAGTCCATAACAAATGCTAACATGTACAGTGTCACATACGAGTATAAACAAATAACTGCACCTTAAATATACAAGTTTGGTGTGAACTAAACAAATTTACAATACTCAAACAATCTGTGTCTTATGATATTTTTCTTTTGATTTTTTAGAAAACAAAATCTGTAGAGGATTTTGACACGTTGTAACTATTACTTCTGACAGTTAAACAATAGTATAAGATAAAACTATAAACTGTAAACAATGTTGCACCAACAATAATGGTCAGTTGTAAACTTATGTTAAGTTAGACTACTTATGAAGTTAAATGCAATAGATTTGAAAAGTAAATGTAAAACGGATGGTAGATTATACTGTTTATTTTGAGCAATCAAAATCCTCTCTAAATTCAAATGCAAAAATATATATTGATCCGCTACTTCAGTCGAACATTGTAAAAATACTTAATATTAGTTGAGAAAACTGATTGTTTAATTAGACGTTTACAATACCGTAACAAATACTTAAAATTCAACAGAAAACTTTAAATACAAACAATTTTATGAGAACAGCTATTAAACAATATTAAATATCGGTACTTAACAAGATTCAAACACAAAATGTATACAATTAATTGAGAACAGTAATTTTAAGCTCGATAATAACAAAAAATGCAATGCTCAAAGGAAAAAGTAGAGTTAGGAAAATAATGAATTCCTGAGTTCTGAAAACTACACTGTTTAGTATTTTTGATTAGTCACTTAAAAATCAACAGCGTTAAAATGATATGCTTTAATACTTGAGATCATAATCCTAAAACTCTGTCGTCAAAAACAGCCTCCAAACGAAGCTTTCTGAATAAATATGTAGAGTAGTCGGACAAACCGAAGGCGAGTTTAATATATAGATACACAACAGTCTACAGCCGTACACAAAATCCTATGTACACAACAAAACAGGGAAGATGTAAAGTAATAGTGACAAACACGGGGTAACAATTGGAAAGTAGCTGTCCAGAATAAATATCAACACTGAATTTATAAATATAATTACAGACACACATTCCACACATAATAAAAAACAGTTACTTATTCTACAAATAAAATGTCGGCCAACAATGACTGTCTTTTGTTATTTACAAAATTAATCTATCGATATATTCATAAGGGCATACGGACGCTAGTTTAAATCTCTCTTTATACACACATAGTACAAATAAGTCATAAATAATATCACTAAATAAATACATCCACTGTCCGACCCCTCGGAATGGAAAACTAATCAGGGGAAATTATCACAGGTGAACGAACGGGGAACTAAAACCGATAAAATGCCCGACACTTAACACTCAATATTGTCCCTCCGAGCTCGGTTATCTATAAAGACTAGTTTCAAAATAGGAACATTGCAACCGCACTGGGGTTCCTTCGGAGGCAGGTTAAGTCGGGTAGAAGGGTCATGCGGCCAATCCCTCCCCTCGTGGTGGAGGTACGTGGGCCGGGGGAGAGTCGGGGGCTGTCGGAGGCTTGCGGTCGTAATGCAGGTCCCACAACGGAGGTGTGCTGCGATGCTGCGGTGAACCGAGAGGCTGCTTCTCAGACCCTGGCGACCCTGGTTTCATCTCCAGAGCTCTGTAGCCTCCAAACCCCAACAGACCATTGGACATGTTGCTTCCTACGTTCTGGATGACTGAGATCTCGTTTAGCTGAAAACAAGAATGATTGTTAACAAAAGATACTGCAGATATTGCATTTACTTTGGTCATAGTCTAACAGTGTTTCCCGACCTGTAGTACGTCTATCACTTGTAGTACGCAGATGCCACAACGGTAGTCTGTGGTGTTGATCTTAGTACAAGTATAATTCGTTAGGATTGTTAGAAAGAGGACGGGATTATTTAAACTTAATGACAATTGTGTAACTGACAAATCAATTGCACTCAAGTAATATAGGAGAAAATAAATCTCAGTACTTCAGTCAGGTGCACCCTTCACTATTTACAAAAATATAAACCTCTGGATCTTTTGATTTGATTTGGTTCAGGAAAGCTCTGCTAGGAGTTGGAAATGATCGGGACTTTTTGGAATGAATTTTGTTTTGGAACAGAAGTTGGCCTCTTATTTTCAAGCTTAGTCTTCTTATTGAAGTTTTTTCATTAGTTTACTGCTAAAGAACAATATCCCTGGGTACCGTATATGTTTTGTCTGTTTTGGGTAACACTGGTAATGAAAATCATGAGACAATCAATAAGAAAAATCGATTAAAAACTATTGTATCCCTTGAACGTTTGTAGCGAATCGCTACAATAGGGCAAGTCACGTGACGACGATGCGCGCACAGTCGGTCCGGCAAGCGCGCGCGGCGATCTACCAGAGTCGTAGTAGTGTCTCCGTCTCCGCCAACAGCACTTCTTAGTCTGGATAAGTACTTAAATTAAGAATATGTCTAGATAGTTTTCGTAGGGGTTGGGGAAGGGTGTAGGTTAGGGTAAATAGTAATTAAATTATGTAATTCATTAGGTTCTCGAATGGTCGTGGTCTGGCAATCAATATCACAAATTTAGAATTCACATTTGCTAAATCTAGTTACCTTTTTCACGAATTAGAATAAGTCCATATATATATATACTGTATATATTTCTCTGTTCATTATATTATAATTAGATATATTAAAGAACATAAAAGCTGGCTGTGATAGGCAGCTAAGGTAATATTGTGCACTTTGATGAGTTAGATTAATTCCTTGCAATAGAGTTGGGTTACGACAGGAAATGTGCGTGATTTGGTAGTGGTTGGAGGAAGATATATAGGGCCCAGGTATCTTCATTTACACTCATACTAGCTACTCCACATCATCACACGTTAAGAGTAGTAATATTTTACTTTACCTTTTGCTGCATCCCGTTAAGGAACGGTGCTGGAAGGTATGGATAGAAAAGATCCGGCCTGCGGTGGAGAAAGTCGGAATCCTTGGGTGTGATTGGCAGCGGTGGCAAATCTAGGGACATGCGGCGGCCGCGTCGTGAAGCACCGTTGGTCCACATATGGGTACCCATGTGTACCTACATCAATAACATGTGTTAGATTACAGGTATCATGAAGTATATTGTACAACTATGCCTATACATAATTACAAGAGTAAATAATGTGATATTTTCATTAGTTTAGTTTTCATTAGCATTTTTGTTTTCTTATACAGGAAACTAAACCTCTAGGTGCCTGACATAATGATTGGTTTCCTCTGTTCTCATGTTTGCAAGCTTATGAGAAAGTACTATCTATGATGACTACTTGTTATTAACATGAAAATTCAACTAGGCCATATATCCATCCTAGGGATTTCCCCAGCTTGTTTATTTGTGAACAGGTAATAGTGAAGTCACTAAATTGTCAAAAAATAAGATGATAATTTTTTTTTAGTCCTAGGACGCTAGGCACGAGCCTGGGATTGTTTTTCACATTACTTCAGGCTAGACCTAGGGGTTGCAGCATTATCACTTAGAACCACTTACACAACAACAACAACACACAAGAACAACTTAAAATCCATTGGTGACTTGGCGGGGATCGAACCCGGGACCTCAGGGACTGAAGTCCCGCGCTCTAACCACTACGCCAGCTCGCTGCAACTAGCAAAAGTATAAATTTATTTTAGTGATAAATGGCTGATATATTCCGCCACGGATACTCTTATAGCTTATTCAGAATATTTAATTTGAAAGCGGAAGGACAAGTTACAAGGTACTTCAGTACTTAAGGTTTTATAACGTTAAAGAAATAAGCAATAAACTAAAAGAGATTTTAAATAGGTTGGTAAAAATTCTGGTTATGCTAGGATGTTATGTTTTTGAGCAACAGTTTGAAGTGAATAAGTTATCCAGGAACCTTAAACCTCCCTCATCATATGAATGACTTCTCTAGTATAGAAACATAAGAGGAGCGAGCTGGTCTAGTGGTAGAGAGCGGGGCTTCAGAGCCCAATGTCATGGGTTCAAATCTCGGCAATTTATACTATGTACAATGGATTTTATCTATGTGATTTATTAATGTCACCACCCTCAAGGACTAGACTGAAGTATAATGTGTAAAACAGTTCTAGGCTAGAACCTAGAGTCCTAGGATGTGAAGTGGGACATAGTAATGTATAGAAACAGAAACATATTTGTAATTTATTTTTGGAAATTGATCACTAAATATTTTGGTAAAAACCGCAGGAATTTTCCAAGAAATTAAAATTTCCCAATGCAAAGAGGGAGTTTGGGTTACTAGAGAAGTAACACATTAATTCTTTGTAACTACGTTAAATTGCAGTATATTTTGATTTAGAAAGAAGTACTCCTTTTTTGTAACACTTTCTTGCACCTACTCTGTTTAACTATACAACCTTTGTCCCAAACATTGGACTATTCCTAAATATTCTCAATTTGTGATCAGGTAATAACTTATTATTATAGGTCCTTGGATTGTTTGTATTATGGATCCAATTTGGAACCTTTTTAAATCCTACTCCTGAATGGTTAAAATGTGTTAAAAAGATGGTTTTAAGATATCATATTTTTACTTTCAAGATGTACTCATAACACAATTTTGTTGTGAGGTTAGTAAAGAATATTTGACCTCGAAATCTCAAAGTATGGGTTCAATCGTTCAATGCAGCTCAATATAACTATAATCAACTGGTATACATGTCTCTAGGGGTGGTTTAGCAAAAATTCCAAAAATAATTTCTCTTTAGGCCTAATCTTTAATCTTTTTAATGTAAATGTTTTAAATATTTATTGTGAGTATTAAATGATACACCCAAAATTCCATGACTCAGAACAGAATTTAAACTATTGATCAATAACTATGAGGTACCAATATATAGTCAAAAACATGTAAGATTAAAATTGTATGGTTATTTATTAGGACAGCAGGCTTGCCTGAATGGGGAGGAGTCCAATCTGATACAAGAAATACAGAAAATCAACATTTAAACACACAATTTAGAATATTTCACTTTTTAGCGTTTTCTTTTCAGCACTCAGGTAAGCCATCTAAAAAAAATCTCTAAAACCTGAACTCTGTAAGATGTAACCTGTCTCCTAACCCTTTATCTAGCTGTGACTTGCCAATGGTTTAACGCCCATCAGGCCAGTCCCCAGGTAGATGAAGGTGCTGGACTCTCCAGACAGGTTTCTTCATACAGACTATAGGTTCTTGTGCTCTATGTTACATCCTTAACCTCAATTTTAAGGTTAGTTTACCTTGAGGTTACCCTTGGTGGTGAATGCCTTGTGGCATATTGTGCAGCGGAAGGGTTTGTCTCCAGTGTGCGTTCTCATGTGGATCTGCAGAGCCGAAGACGACGAGAAGTTCTTATTGCAAACATGGCACAAGTGTTTTGGCAAGCCTAAAACACACACGCGCGCACCAACGTGCGGTTAAAAGCTGCACACATTAATGTAAAGCGCTCTACGCGCGTTTGGTACATTTGGGTTAGGTTGGTTCAGGATTGCCAAATCACTGGAACCATCGAGCATTGCTTTTCTAGTTTGACGGTTAAAATAATGCTAGAAAAGTTCTGTGACTGTGAGTAAGGTTTTAGTGTCAGTATATTTGGATTCAGTATTCCATTTGATTTAAGTTTCTTATATTAGTTGTTTGAAAAATAAAAAAATTACACAACTGTTTTTTTATATAGAAATTGTGGTGGTGTTTTAATTTGTTAAACATTATAGACACTTTTTTAGTAAAGGTTGTGCGAATTGCATAGGTTATAAAATTTACTGAAGTTTTCAGTGAATTTCAAAAGTTAGATTTTAAACAAATTTAAGTTTTATTAATACAATATTCAAAATTGGCAAACAAACTTTAAAAAAATATAGTGACACTGAAACATATTTTTAAATTGCATGCTTGATTATTTATGTATGAATAACTCGCATATACAAAACCATTTAAAAAACGTTAAAAAAATTTTTTGAAACCATAAAACATGCTACTTAATCAAGTTTTGCATATTGATTTCTATTGAATTAAAACTTACTAGGCTGTCTCTTAGGCAGAGGTAGGATGGATTCTTCTGGTGATCTCTTCACAGGCTGCGGCGGTGGTGGAGGTTGATGATGTTGGTGTTGATGCTGTTGATGTTGTTGATGGTGTTGATGTTGATGATGCTGCGGAGACTGATACAGCTGCAATTGTTGCTGCAGGTTAGGCTCCTTGGGAGGTGGTGGCCCAGTGGGGGTCAGCGGGGGACCCACAGGAGGTTGCGTAGGAGTCTGCGGAGCCTCAAGAGCTCTGACAGAGCCGATGTCTCTACTCTCGGAACTAGCGTTGCTGGTGTCGTCCGTAGGGCTCTTTTGCTCAAAGAGATGTGAAGGCATGTCTCGTATCTTGTGTGTTAGCATGTGTTGCTTCATATTCCCCTGCGTACACGCAGCCAACTGATTAATTGCTCAATTGAAACGAGTTTGTGTGGGGGAAAAAAAGTTTTAAAATATAGCAACCTAATCTAAATGATATCTATTTACATTTTTAAACATATAAATTTTTTTTCGGACTAATATTTGGTCAATTTTCTTTGCTTTTTGTAAACAAGTTGGGTTTATCATTGGCAAAGCAAATAATATTTTGGGAGGGGCCAAGGTCAATATTTACCCATTGGAAAACAATCATCCGTTTTGCTTTTTTGTTTTGATTGCCAAATTAAGGAGGTAAATAAACCATACATCCTGTTATTAATATTTTCAATGTGTGTGAAGCAAATTTTGCATTTGGGCAATTCAGAGTGGCCAATATTTGCATACTTTCTTATATTAATTAGTTCAGTGAAGAGTATGTATGAAGTTAACAAAAAAGATTGTAAAATGTCTGATATCTAAGTATGTTAGTCTATCTTAGAATATTTTTCCATACCCACTCAGGAACCTGTATTATTAAGAGAAAGTCATCATACTGTATTTTAACAACAGAATGTAAAAGTAATATTTAATTAGGACTAATATCTAAGCTAATAATAGTAAAGAAAATCAATTAACCAAGTTTAACTTATAAATGTTAATTTATGGTTTTTTTTACTCATTGTAAAAATACAACTGTTGACGAGTGAATGATGCTGGGAATGATCACAGCAAAAAGGTTTAGCTTTGCACAATTCAATCAGTAACAAATAAAACATCAATTTGAAATTCATAGGGAGGTAAAACAACACTAGTTAATGCACAGTATTCCAATTAGGGTAATCCATATGGCTAATGAATTTGTTTCAGGGTAAATGTTTTTTTAACAAATAGAGTAATAGGTTTAGTCTCAACAGTGAAGCTGGAAAGAGATTTAATGTTGTTTTCATTGAATTTCACACAGTATTAACTGGGTATGGTTTGTATAATGCCTATGCCTGCTAAAAATGACAATGACGTAATAGGTGTTGCGATCATTGATTATATACTACACCAAGTGTATAATAAATGGTATTGTTTGTAAAGCGGAAAAATATTTTGCACAGTATTAAAATGAGTCCAATTTATGGAGCACATACAAGAAATAATAGCGATATAAATTTGTGTGTGATTATTGATTAACCGTTAAAAATGTGAGAGAAATTTACAACATTTTGAAAGTAGGGTATTTTTTGACGGTGAAGGAGTGCGATACAATCACTTATAGATGTGCTAGGGAGTTGAAATTTCGCACACTTGTAGTTCTTGGTCCCAAACCATCCATAAAATCCCAAAAAGTCGCATTTTCAAATTTTAACCCCCCCCCCCCAAAAAAAAATCCAAAATGGCGTACCTCTGAAAACGACAAAACACTTTTTTTTTCAAACGGCTATAGCTTGAAAACGGTAGGAGCTATAAAAGATTTGAGGCAAAACCGTAGGTTCGGAATTAAATTTCCTACAAGACACTATTTATGCGTTTTGTCGCACTCCTTCGCCGTAAAAAAACGCGCTACTTTCAAAATTTTGTAAATTTCTCTCAAATTTTTAACGGTTTTCACTATTTTTCGTATCTAAATAATTATTTTCCCCAAATCCAACGGAAGTCACATAGAACATCTTTAGTTTAAGGTAAAAAAACTTTAAGTGTTTTCCTTTAAAACAACACCAAAACCAGCTCTGTACCTTGTTTAATAAGATTTATATGAATTTTAAAAGTTGTAAAGTCCTTTTTGAATCACCCTGTATAGTAAACTAACCAATTGATTGACTAAGAAAAAAAACTTCTTCTGTACAGCCTGAACCAATTAGACGTGTAAAAAGATGAACACTTTTCAACAAAGACAAACACAACAAACTCCGAATGCTCGCAAAGTGGAATTTAGTGTAATTCATTTTACAAGTTGAAAGTAGTCGTTTGTTGAGAAACGTCCGGTGATAAACACACGAATGTTATTAAATGGGACCAATTAAAAGTGGTAGTGCGATCTTAGCCGAGAAGACAAAAGAAGGCTGCCATCTCTAAATAAACCCGTCAGAGGGAAAATAATAGTTGAGGCGGAGGGACGACCAGTCAGTCATAGTTTGGGTTTGGGCCAAACTATGCGCTAATTTCAGAGAGCCACTTATTGCATATGTCATCCAAACAAATAGTACCATTGTATCTGGCCCCTCCTACCATCTCGCGTATGACGCGGGCAGAGATGGCGAAGAAAAGAGGAAAGAGGGTCTGTAAAACTCTTTAAATTCAAGTTGGGTTAGGTTAGGTTGTGGTTTCGTTTTCATTACTTTGAATATGCATCATATTTTCTATTCAAAGTCAAAGACTTAATTTAAAGAGGTTAGCAAAAGCCAACGGAATTTGAACGCCCTTGAAAGAATACTGCGGTAACGATTTCGGTGAATACCCAGGGATAGTAGTGTGGTTATGACAATAAAGAAGGTCAACAATCTTAGATTTAAAACTGCGTAGATTTTATAGGCAAATAGAACTTCTTATGTATTAACTGTCACTTCTGTCAAAGACTATTTGATTATTTAACCAGTTGTCCAGTTAGCCTAACTAGTTGGTGCCCTACCTTGGTCGAGAAGCCTCTGTCGCAGATGGTACATTTGAAGGGGCGTTCTTTCGTGTGACTGCGGTAGTGGATCTCCAGCGCAGAGTTGCAGGCGAACGTCTTGAAGCAAATGTTGCAAGTGGTGTTACCCCTCACTGTACAAACAGAAAGATGGTAGAATACAAGTTGTATATCGGCGTCATTTGTGTATCGAACAATTAGACTCGGGAGAAAATAAAGTATAAACTAAATAAATAGTAATAGTTTAAATTTAAAACTAAACTATCACGGTGATGTTTTCTGAGGTAAGGTAAGTCTGTGCCAGTAGGATAATTCAACCTAAACAGTCAATCCAACAACAATAAACACTTGATAATATCGTTAAGGATGTGCCAAAAATTTATGTTCAAAATACGTTTCAAGCTTCCCACATGATTACCCACAAATCGATCGCTAGAGCGATTGCCCTTTGCCAACGCAATCAAAAATAAAATAAGCGAGCATCTAGGTCTAACCTCTATTGGCATCCGACGGCGGATCGCTCAACGTTTATTTACGGGTCTCTCTATCTATAGCCTTCGCATTAAAATGTCAATGCATTATCATTAGATTGGAAGTGCGAGTGCGTACATTGCTGAACACCTGCCAATCTCGAGTCGCTCGGAGCGCTTCAACCTCGCCCGTACTGTTAAATTATTTCTACTTTCAACTTTGAGTTGGGGATATCAAACGGTAAGCCTACACTTGAAATTGCGTTTCTGGTTAAAATAACTCAAATATGTCTCACATTAGCTTTTTTTAATGCCTTTGCATCTAAAATGGAAAAGGAAAACGTATTGTTTAAATGTTCATGCAGGTTGTTTAAGCTGAGACTCATTTTATGGATCAATGAAAATTGGAGTGAATCAGATTATTCTCCCTTCCTTAGAAAAGAATATTTAAAACTGATTACACTTATCATAGCTTGAACTGAGGGGAGTGTTGAGAAGTTTGAATACATGCACTGGGAGTGAAATAATCAACATTTGGTAGTAATATACGGACGACAGACAACATGAACACACAAGGGGCGAGGGACAAGTTACCTGCGGGTCCCACAGCCAGTCCCATGGGGCTGAACGCCGTGGACGTTAACACTGAGGAGGTGAGAGAAGACAGCGCCGAGGTAGGCAGTAGGCCGAACCCCGAGAACACTCCGGTGGAAGTTCTCGGTGTGAGGTCCAGAGCGCCCAGGCTGCCTGACTCCGAGGCCGCGGGACTGGGCGGTCGCTGGGTCGGACGGGGTAGGAGATGGGAGTGGAGATGGGTCTGGGGGGATGGTGTCAGTTGCCCCTCGGACCCACTAGGACTCGAACCCGGCGGAGACTTTTCACCGTTCACTGTAATAGGGGTGAACGAAGTGTTATTGCACAATTCCTCATTTTGGTTTACATGCGATTGACTATACTGAGAAGCTACTGTGGTAATGGTTCGGACTTGATTTTCGAGGGCAGCTAGTGAGGTGGAGAAAGAGGGCGAACCTAATAAGGGACTAGAACTACTGGTTTGGACCTTCTCCGAGAATTCTGACGGGGGTTCGTCTTTGACTGGAGGGCCACAGACGCGCCGATCGTCAGGAGGATGAGGGAGGGGTAGGAATGGTTGGGAGTCCAGAGGTAACATGGACGGTGGGAGGTACTCTCTGATCTCGGCCGCCTGGATCTGCTCGGGTGTCAGATCCGTGGGCTCGCCCGTGTGTAAGCGAATGTGCTGTTGGAGAACGAGCCCGTTGGTGAACTTTTTATGACATACGGGACACTGGTGGAGGACTCTCATAGGAGGCTTTATCCTATGAACACCCATGTGAGTTTTCAGATTCCCTTTGGTCGTAAAGGCTCTTCCACATATTTTACACCTAAAGGGCCTTTCTCCCGTGTGGGTCCTGTAATGCATCTGTAAAGCGCTTTTACAAGAAAGAACGCGGTGACAAATAATACATTGGTTAGGGTCAGTTAGCTTGTGCTCTATATTATCGACCAATTGCTGAAGTTTGGAAGTTTCAGAGGTTTTGGTTACTTCTATTAGGCTTTCCCAGGAATTGTCGTTGCTGCCGGGACGGGGAAGGAGACTAGTATAAAGGGCTGGATCTTTGGACGGATCGATATCAACAGGATTTGAGTTAAAACCTAGAGGTGTGTGAAGGCCGGATGATGTGCTACTGGGAGGAGAATGAGTAAGACTAGGAAAAGAGAAGGAAGGAAAGCGTTGGTCGGTTGAAAAACTAAAATGTCCTATGACAGACGTACTTTTGTTGGAGAGGTTTTCCGGCTGGTCTTGCAGGCTGTCGTCGTGCTTCTCCTCTGGACTCTCCCTGGTCCCAAGCATGTCCTCGTGGCTGTACTTGCTGTCCGAGCTGCACTCGTCGTAGCCCATGGGCGAGTACCTTTCTTGTTCTTGCTCCATTTCTCCCTCGGCTTCTGTTTTGGGAGTGAGTCGTTCATCGCTCTTCACCGGTTCTTCAGTCGTCTCTGTAGTGCACATCGTCAATGGAATAGGCCCATCGTCATCCGACATCTCCTTTTTGAAATGGTCACTACTTTCGGACGGTGGAGGCGAGGTGGAATGTGTTGATAACACCGGTTTGCTCAAGTTCTCCGGGGCTTCTTGGTGCAAGTCTTGGCGTGGCCCGAACAGTGGGATGGGAAGGACGGGTTTGATGAGGGATTGGTGGTGCGGTTGGATGACGAGATCGTGCTGGGGTCGGAACATCGGCAGCCCTGTGGGAGGGAAGGGAGGGCTGCCGGGGAATTGGTGGTGATGCGGTGGCTGAGAATTGTGTGGATGATGTGCAGGAACTCCGGGGGGTAAACTCTGATGAGCTCCCATTTGCGCTAGCAGAGGCGGGTGATACTTGTCTAAATGCTCGGGTACCGGATTAGGATTCATTTTGATGTGCGGGAACTTGGATGTGTGCCTTTGGAAATGTACTTTAAGGTTGCCCTTAGTGGTGAACCGGGAACCGCAAACATTGCACTTAAAAGGGCGCTCACCTGTGTGCGATCTGATATGGATCTGGAGGGCGGAGTCACTGCCGAACACCTTCCCGCAGTATCTGCATCGGTGCTTGAAGAACGGCTCGTTCCTGCCCCCCGTCTTGGAATCATATGGTGACATACTTTTACCCCCGTTCTTTCTAAATGCTAGCTCGTCAGCTAAATTGTTTGCAAGTAAACCCTGACTGGCATTATCTAGGACCTCTTGTGCCCTACGCTGCAACATCTCGAGCGTGTTAGGTTCGCTCGGAGAAGGAGGTGGATCGAGATTCGTAATTATAGAAGATGCAAAACTAGATGAAATGGAACACGGGGGTAGAGAGGGCGTGTGTATTGGAGGGGACGCCGTGACAGGCTTGGGGGCAGAAGTTGGCGTTGTGGCCTGAGGGGCGGAGGCCGGGACGGACTGAGTGGTCGGTGTGGTTATGGCCATGGGGATCTCCTGCTTGACCGGGGTCGGGGTTCTGCTGGGCTTGGGCAGTGAGGGTGGCAGAGGGCTGTGGGATGGTCGAGGTGTGATGGTGAGAGGAAGGGGAGGAGTGGGACTTCCGTCCTTGGGCCGCGTGATCTGCAACTGCTGCTGCAACTGTTGTATCAGGTTTAGCTGCATCATCTGCTGAGTTTGTAATGTGTACAGTGTAGACTGCAGCACTGCTAACTCCTGCAGTGCGGCGGCGTTGTCAGTGTTGTTGGCCATCGCCGTCGCCGCGAACTGTGCCACAGCAACCTTAGTGTTCTGGAGAGCCTCTAGAGTCACATGGCCCGCTGCTGCGGCCGCTGGCAGTTGGAACGGGAACCCCAGTGGCAAGTCTTCTCCTTCACCTTCAGTTTCTCCATCTTCAACGCTGTTGTTATTCTCGGCATCTTGTTTCTGCCTTCGAACTTCTTCTTGCCTTTTACCCTCCTCCGGAAGACTACTCTCTTCGTCTTCCTCGTCTCCGGAGAGAGGCATTTCATCGTTCTCTCCGGAGCCGGGACTGTCTAGGACCTCGACATCTTTGGGAGGTATACACTCCTTTCTGTGGTCTTCGGCCTCCTGGGCATTCGAAAACTCGGCGTTGCAATTGTCACAGACGTTGTCGTCTCTCGGACTTGTCGCCTCCTCTTCAGAGTCCGTTATCGGCCCATCTCCTGAAAAACAAACAGAGTTATTAGACTAACGTATAAAACATCTTTCACAATATACATCTCGAAAAGACTTGTGTACACGAGTATTAACTATAAATGTGGCGATGTTTACAGAATAGCATTTAAATTATTGTAATAAACATCTTGATTTAAGTTGAACATAATGCTTCCGTTCGTCGCTCATATCTCATGTCACGAGCAGAGGCCCTCAAAGATATGCTTTGGGACTAAATACGCCGCTAATAGATTCTCGTCTCAAGTTCCACTGCTAGAAGCCCTTCCGTATTCCACATTTGAGAAGTAATATACGACCTCCAGAAGAAAAATAGCCGCGCCCCAAACATAATAACAGAAATAGCCGAGCCAACCCCCAGACATATGGGGCGGGATATTTCCTACTATTCGGAATATAGTTTGTGTTATGCTCAGCTGGAGTATTCATAACGCTAAATTTAGACTTAAAAATAATGGACTAGTGAGACAAAGCTAGTAGCTAGTGCCGTATCGGATATATCCCTGACATTCTGTAGACTCAGTATTTATAGCCGTGCTGTTGACGAGAGCTGGAACCATAACAGGGACAGATGGTCCGTGTATTTAGCGCACAAACACTCGTTACTCAATTTTACAACCTGTAAACTCTTAAACTGCCTTAGAAATGTGTGGTTACTGAGGAGAAAACAAACACGTCATTTCATCTTACAGGAGCGTTCGTATTAATCTTTTGAGGTTTTCAAACCAACAAATGTATCTAGACGGAGAAAAAGTATTTTAGGAGATACTGGCACGCCAATTTATAGAAACGAGTGTTGAACTGGCAAAACATTAATTTAATTTTAACAATCCGTTGTAGGGTTGACAACTTTGTTTAACTTCTCTCACGCATTATTTGGGAAACTCTTTTATTGTTTCGTATCATCCCGCGTGTGTAGACCATGTATAACCCCCGCCCCCGCATTGCCACGCCGTGACGCCGCCTTGCGCAAGGAGGATCGTGAGAGCTTCGTCCGCAGTTTCGCAAGACGCCGTCGCTTTGTTCCTCTCTTACCCCGCCTCCATCATTACGGCAATTCTCCAGTCGTGGCTCACTGGTTCGGAATCAAAATGGCCGATTGTGATCCGTCATCTGTCACCGTAAAGCTATTTATTTTTATGGATGATTTGACGGAAGTTGTCGGCGTCTTTATGCACCCACCACGCTCGGCCGCGCCCGCCGTGCGGCGCTGATCGCGCTAAACTGTGAAATATGCGGCAGCAATGGTGCATATCCGGATCGGATCTCGGCTTCCGGTCCTATTCCTCCAGTTGATTTCAAATTTGAAAAATCCGAGTCATCGGTGATCAACGCCCCTGCGTGACGTCACGGTCTGCCTGCGCGGTGGATCAAAAGGTACGTCCGAAAATGATCTATATGAATCGTTTTATCACTATACGATTTTCACATTCAAAACATGGGACGATACTAGACATTCACAGACACTCCACACAAACTCCTAGAGTAGCCCACAATCGTAATGGCCCATGAAGACTGTGGAGATGGAGAGATGGAGAAACAACGCTAATTGTCTAAGAGAGCGAGCTATTAGCGCAGACACGGGCTAAAAATACAAACATAACTCGGAAACCGCAGAAGCGGGGAGAGAGAGGGGATGACGCAAATCGAAGGTGTTAGTGGACGTGGAGGCGCAGCGGCGCATGTCCGCGAGATGGTTATGAGTGTTATGATTAGTGCTTTAGGTCGCGACGCCGCGAGAGAAAGAGAGGGGGGGAGAGACGCCACCCCCACCAACACCCGCACGCAGCTCTTGATTGATCTGTTGTTAGCGGCGAGAGAACCAGAAGAATGCTTACTTTGCTTGCACAGCCTACAATAATGGTTTCGATTTTTAAACCGATTCTTGAATCACTGTCAGCAATACTGGAGTCATAGCTTTGAAGAAAAGTCCACTATGAACAATGGGCAAAATCATGATACAAGAGAAAAATATCATTTTAAAATCCAAACATATTTACTGTCATTGCCCAAACAATTTTAGGACAGTTCTCATTGCCATGTAAAGTATCCTGGACTATCCGCAGCACCGTACATACGAGAGGAAGAGCCCTGAGAGAAAATGGTCGAAACTATCTTTTTTATAAAAATCCCACCGGTACCGGAAGAAGGTTGCACTTTTGCTTCCACATAATGAAAAAAATGCCATTGTCATAAACAAATTTGAAAAGTACCTAATTAAACGTATGCCTATTAATATATAGATACCCAATTGGCTCGTGTCTATGTATACTGTATTTATTTTTGTACATACTTTTTGTCTGTACTGTAGTCTGCTTTATGAAACTGACACTATCGTATGATGTACATATGGTATTGAGTAAAGAGAGTAGGTGTAGAAAATTAAACTCTACTTCTTCTCTTAAATTATATTATCTTCTTGAAAAAAGTTAGTAGCTTTTAGATGGTTTGAAACTGGACTCAGCTGTCCTTGACCATTGGGTTTGTAATTAATGATCTATAATTAAACAGCTCTTGGTCGATAAAAATGCTACACAAGACATTTCAACACTCCAATTCCTCCTTCGACACATGACAATCCTGAGCGACGAGACACTCTATTACCTCGGTCCAGACCAGGTGCCGGGTATGAATGGTGCGCCGCGGTCGAAAGAAGCGTCACAGTTTTAGCTTTTTGGCGCGTCACCCAGCGCCCGTCATCAACCCTCTCTATTCTTTGGCATTTGGATCTCGCCAAGCAAATCTGTCTGGTTATTTCGCTATCTTCCTCGTCTTCCTGAGGCCCACACGCGTGACAGTGCTTTGTCCTGCGTTGTAAAATAAATCGCCTCTGCTCTTCCATCTGCTCAGTTTCATCGCTGAAAGGATTTTCGGATAAACGTTTTATTTTGTGTCCGTTCTTTTATTAGTCTGTGGACGTTTCAGAGAATTAGGATGAGTTTATATTCTAATCTGATAATTATGAATATTGTGTTCGCTTCTCACAACGATTTTTACTGTTTAAAGATACTTGAGTAGTGTGAGGAACACTCAATTCAATTCACACCATCTTGCCACATATTCTTATACAAGATTTTCAATTGAATTGACTATTTTAGGAGCATTAATAAATGTTTTAGAGCTACATCACACGTTTAGTAAGCTTGATTCGGTTGTCTGTCCGACTAGGGCAACACTTCAGTGGTTCTGAATGTGCATGTTTTTACTCTTCATCGCCGTGAAGTGATGTTTTGTTCCCAAATCTGCCTATCATCGCCCGCCAGACAGAATACTTCCATTCATGGCCTCACTAAAGAATTTAGGTGTACTACGAGCAAGGTACGTAAGTATATATCCCAAGATGATTGTATATTATAAATGTATTAAATCCCCCAAAAATTATGAATTATTTCTATCATTGTTGTGACGTATGCTATGACGTAACACAGTTATATAAACTGGCATGTCTCTTTTTTCGATTACAAATAGTCATTGCAATGATATGAGGAACTGCAGTATTGCTATCTGATGATGTGGTTAGTATAGACACATATTTTAACCTAGCACTTTTAACATTTGTCATATATTTCTCAACACTTCCTTGTCACGTATTGAATAATAAACAAGGTATTACTCGTTATTAAAATTGAAAATTTATATTGAATTTTTTTGACTCCTTGTATTGCAGATGCATAAATTGCATTCTAACAAAACATTCTGAAACAACATCAATTCTTTTTTCAGTTAAACATCGTATGTTCCTATGCAAGTTGAGGGAACGTAGCTCTTGTGCAAAAATATTCAAATTTGTGGTTAACTCCTAAGCAAACAGGAAAACTAAATACAAATTCTGTTGCTACTCATGGAATTGCATAATCCAACTACAGTATTCTAAAGCAGCTTCAATTCCTCAACGACAGCCTATTTCCCTATTGCTAAGGATCTGTTGGTCCTTTGAGCGCAGGACACGTCGCGAGGGGACAGTAGGATAATCACTTCCGCACCGCTGCCAAAGGGCGCGGTCAGGCTTTGGCGCCCCTCGGCCTGGAAAATTGGAAATTTCTCTCTTCAACGCTCTTTGGACGCGTTATTGAAATGTTAAATATCCCAAAACCGCATCTTTGATCCGCCGTTTTGCCATGTGTAAACAACAACAATGGTCCAATGGTTTTGTTTTTTGGTCGTATCTTCAGTGTTTTAAAGCTGAGTTATCTAAGGGCAACTCTAGAATATAGGTAGTGTGAATCAGTGTGGTTTTAATCCCTAGCATTGCTGACAATCATTTTGTTCTGGATTTTCCGTTTTTATTAGTTAGAAGAAAAGTCATACATCTCTCCATTACAAAGGCCATAAAATGAAACCTAAACTATAATAGCTAAGGTAGACGTTAAGACTAGGGTAAGCATTAAATGTCGATAATGCACTAGAAATCCATTCAATATAGATAAAATGAGATATTTTTTTACTTAAACAGAATTCAGGTTAATGAGATTCTCATAGTGTGCTCAAAGCTTAATTTTCTTTTGTTATACTATTTTATTTTATTAGGACATACAGAACCCCTCGTAGCCACAATACAATAAATATAAAAATAAACTAATTATTTTCGACTTTTTGTGTTTCTAGCTCAACGCTCGTAACCCAACCTTCACAGTTACTTGATATCAGTGACTAACAGGATCAATAGGACGAGTCCAACAATGCACCAGCTATGTGACGGAAACATAGTAATTATTGTGAAGAGGGCGGACTTCCGGTCTGTATGGCTTCATGATGATTAACATTGTAACACGAGGCAACTATAAAATTGGGAAACCTCCCAACAGCGCAAACACCCTTGTTTGTACTACGGTAATGAGGTTTCGATATGATTACAATTGATATCGAACCGGCGAGTAATCGATAAATTGATGTCATGATTCAAAGGGAGTTTCTAGTGTTTAGTTATATTCATTGTGACCCTTGGTTGGAATATATAATGGATGAAATAAAATGATTATCTTAGCCAACC